CGGCGGCGATTGGTCGGCGCGGCGAGTGGGGCGGGGCGGAAGGTTCTGGAGGGGGCTGGCGGGCTCTGGAAGCTTCCGCCGGACGGGTATATAGAGTCCGGGACGGGGCGGCGGCGGAGCCGGGGGGACGGCGACAACTGGGCGGCGGCCTGCAGGCGGGGGCCATGGGCAAAGACTATTACCAGACGCTGGGCCTGGCCCGGGGCGCGTCAGACGAAGAGATCAAGCGGGCCTACCGCCGCCAGGCGCTGCGCTACCACCCGGACAAGAACAAGGAGCCCGGCGCCGAGGAGAAGTTCAAGGAGATCGCCGAGGCCTACGACGTGCTCAGCGACCCACGCAAGCGCGAGATCTTCGACCGCTACGGGGAGGAAGGTGCGTACGCGCGCGCGGCCGGGGGCGCGCCCCCGCCGTTTGACAGGGGACGGGGAAACTGAGGCACGGCGGCATGACTGCTGCATCCTCGGGGGCGGGGGCGGTGTCTCGGGCTGCGAGCAACCCCCGCCCTCTGGCCATGCGGGTCTCGTCCCTAGGATTGGCGGCCGCCAGATGGGAGGAGGAGTTCTAGCCGCACTGCTCGCCCAGAAGCTTCTAGCATGTCTAGGGCTGCCCCTCCCTGGATGCCTCCGCCCACGTCCCCGATCGCCCCCTGTTGCGTGCCGAGAGGGAGACAGGTTTCTTCGGCTGGTGGCGCTGCGGGCTCACTGGCCCAGGCTCACCTGGGAGAAGTGGGGGGAGGTGCCCTGCCGCCCAGAGATGCTGGGCGCGACCGCTGGCTGAGCGCCGGGCACCACCTTCGTGCAGCGAGCTTGCAAAGGGGAGCGCCATTTCGCCCCCACCTCCCTCCCAGGCCCCTGGGAGGGTGGAGTGAGCTAATCCTTGCAAAGTGCTTACCCAGCTCTGCGCCAGGCACGTAGATGTCAACCAGCGCCCGCTGTGGCCATGTAGGTGCAGGAAGCGGAGGGGACCGCCTCTGCCCAGCCTCTCGGGGTAGTCCTCCTCAGGAAAGGAGAAAGCTTTCTTGTTTGTCCAGTTGCTGGTTGGTGACTCAGGCTGGCTTCTGGGCTTGGCGTTAACAAACGAAATGACTTTTTATGTAAGAACGGAGGTAGTTGTGCCAGGGTGTGAGAATTTGAAAATCTCCGTGTATTTTATCAACTTTTCTTATTCGCCACACCTCAATGGCCCTAAAGCGTTTAAAAGTAAACACTTTTTGAAAGCTGACTCTGGATCGTGCCTTTTTCATCTGATCTCTTAGTGAATTCTTTTAAGTTCGTGTATCATTTCGGTGAGGGTGGGTCATTGAAGAAGTGAAACAATCTCCCTGCCCCTAGAGAGGGCCTTCTCAGAGCTTGAGCCCCTTGCCACAGCCATGCCACAGTGAAGTACCTTGGTGGGGTGTCTGTCTCTGCTGCTACAGTGGAAGTAGAGTTTAGGTTCTTCCTTGTTCACTCCTGACAGGCTAAAACAATTCCTATTCTGGTGACTCCCAAGTAGTTTTCTCTTAAGGAAAGTCTCTGGCCAACCATCTGATTTATTGGGATTTTGCCTTTCAGGCCTAAAGGGCAGTGGCCCAAGTGGTGGGAGCAGCGGTGGTGCTAATGGTACCTCCTTCAGCTACACATTCCATGGAGACCCTCATGCCATGTTTGCCGAGTTCTTCGGTGGCCGAAATCCCTTTGACACCTTTTTTGGGCAGCGGAACGGGGAGGAAGGCATGGACATCGATGACCCATTCTCTGGCTTCCCCATGGGCATGGGTGGCTTCACCAACATGAACTATGGCCGCTCCCGCCCTGCCCAAGAGCCCACCCGAAAGAAGCAAGACCCCCCCGTTACCCACGACCTTAGGGTGTCCCTCGAAGAGATCTACAGCGGCTGTACCAAGAAGATGAAGATTTCCCATAAACGGCTGAATCCTGATGGGAAGAGCATTCGCAATGAAGACAAAATCTTGACCATCGAAGTGAAACGGGGTTGGAAAGAAGGGACCAAAATCACCTTCCCCAAGGAGGGAGACCAGACCTCCAACAACATTCCAGCCGACATCGTCTTTGTTTTAAAGGACAAGCCACATAATATCTTTAAGAGAGATGGCTCTGATGTCATTTATCCAGCCAGGATCACCCTTCGGGAGGTAAGGCACCAGGTGGGGCAGTGTCTGTGCAGGGAGATAGCTGCTTTTTGAAGCAGTTTTGTATTTTTTTTTGACATATTTCTGAGTACTTGGTGTCTGCCAGACTTAGGGGTGCAACAGAAGCAAGACAGGCCAGGGCTCTGTTTTTCTTGAGCTTTTGTGCTGGTTACCTGGGTAGATCTGGGGGCAAGGTCTTAGCTGTAGAGGCCTGATGGCTCTTACACTACCCCACCCTGCCTCTGGGCAGGAATGAAGCTTCCTAAGCTATACTCCATCTAATACTGTTACTTTGCTTTTCAAGGCTCTGTGTGGCTGTACTGTGAATGTCCCCACTCTGGACGGCAGGACCATACCCATCACATTCAAAGATGTCATCAGACCTAACACACGGCGAAAAATACCTGGAGAAGGCCTCCCTCTCCCCAAAACGCCCGAGAAACGTGGGGACCTCGTTATTGAGTTTGAAGTGATCTTCCCCGAAAGGATTCCCCCAGCGTCAAGAACCATACTTGAGAAGGCTCTTCCAATATAGTCACCTGTATTTGCCCAAGGACTTACCAGGGACCTTTCCAGAGCTCAAGGATTTCCGGACCGTTCCACTAGTTGTGGGCCCTTGAGAGGGCGGGAGGGCCCAGGGAGGGCTTTCATACTGCTGAATGTTTTCCAGAGAATATATTACAATCTTTCAAAGTCGTGCTCTAGACTTCAGTGGTTTTTCAAGCGACAGGGCAGCAGGTGGTGGGGACAGCAGGAGAAGGCATTCCAATCTGCCCCACTGGGTCCTACAGCCCTCCTGTAATGTGCCCACTCCTCTTCCAGGTCCTACCCAGGGCCAACAGGCAGCCCCGCAGTTGAACTTGAGCCCTCTCTCGTTCCTTTGCTTGTGGCCGTTAGGTGATGTCAACCTGCTGTTGGTTACCAGACCCTGTACGCTCTTCAGTTTCTGTCGTGTGACCAGTTCGTGTTTTATTCTGTATTTGTCTCCCATGTTTTGCTCTTCCTCTGAAGAATCCCATCTTTTGCCATCTCAAATTGAGAACCTAGACTATTTTTGCAGAACTGCCTGGCCGGCGCCCACAAGCAATACCTCTCATTCCAGCAGGACCAAGGGAGCCAGCCTCAGTGAGTGAGAGTGAGTTGCGCAGCCGCCTCTCCCTCCGGGATCAGGGGCCCTTTCGAGCTCTGGTTCTGGGGCCAAATGCACTCACCTAAGGGTCACACTCCTTTCCTGTAAGGCAATCTTTGGCACACCGGGGCTTCTTGGTGGCCCAGGTCATTTTTTAATGGACTCTGGACTCTCAAAGGGATCTGATCCTTTTGAATTTTGCACAGCCCTAGATATAATCCCTTTTGATAAAAGGGTCTTTACTCCTGATTACAGGAGCACTGTGGAACGTCTGTAAATATGTTTTTATAATTCTGTGTAAAGTTGGTGTGCACTCAAATGAAAGCAGTCTGTGGCAGGTGCTGCTCTCTGTACAGGCCCATGATGGAATTCAGAAGGAACCTTGGGAATGGGGGGTTGGGGAGTTGGAACGAATGTCTGTTCCCTGCAGGCCAGTGTGGTGCTCTGACCTTTAGACTCATTGTAAGTTGCCACTGCCAACATGAGACCAAAGTGTGTGACTTGTCAATGTGCGGCATGACAGCATTAAAGACTGATGCTAAACCTCAGGGGAGCGGTCCTGCGACTCTGTTTGAGGGCTCTGCTGACGGGTTGGGGCAGGCGTTGGACATCCCACCAAAGGCAGCCAAGGCAGGAGGGAGGGGCTGGTGTGAGGCAGTCCTCAAAAGATGACTCTCCTCTCCTGTGTTCACTGTGTGGGGTGGAGAATGTCAATGCATCTGGATTTTGGATCCAGGTGTCCAGAGACCCCAATGGATCAGAGCTTGTCTTTTTGTGAGGATCGGGGCCAAAGTTAGGCATTTCTAGACATTTCTAGACATTTCTTCTTCCCGTTTTCCAGGGGTGGTGTGAGGTCTGCCCTCTTAATTCCCCTCCACTTCTTTCTTGCTGGGACAGAATGGGTGTCAGGCAGGCCCTGGCCAAGCTGGCCTAGGATTCCAGCCCAGTACTGGCTGCCCCGCCCTGGAGAGGACCATTTCCTGCCCTCACTTTATTTGCAGGCCACCAAAACTGCTTTTACTTTGTAACTTTTTTTAAGGAACTGGTTTTATTATAAGGTAAGTAATTACACAGGCTGAAAACAATGTATTGCTACTTTGCTACAAAATGTCTTAGAGTAAAAACTTAACACCATATTAAAGTCAACCTAGGAGTGGCTTTCTCTTCCCACGGAAACAATTTAACCGCTGAAAACAGTCTTAAGGGCAGTGCTCTAGAAGAGAACTTTCTGCAGTGGAGGTATGTTCTATGTCTTTAAATGGAAATTAAGGCTCAATAAAATTAAAAATTCAATTTCTCAGTCGCTCTAGCCACATTTCAAGTCCTCAGCAGCCACACACGGCCAGTGGCAACTACTGGACAGCACAGAACTAAAGGGCATTTCACCCAAATCAAAGATATCAGTCTCTTATTAGAGAAGAGCGGCCACACCGAGCAACCCTATTTAGGATGTTATTCCAGATATCAGACGCAAAAGGGACCTCATCACAAGAGATGTTTACTGAACTACTTCAGGCACCAAGATGACATTTACTGCAGAATTGGCCCGGCCTCATTTGGGGGTCACAGATCCCCAGGGCTACCATCCCCTTGCCCCCGGTCTCCATTATGTAGCAGTTCCCTGTGAACTTCATATCGAAGTGCCATTGGTACAAAAGTACACAAAGTCTGTGCACACCGTTGTGGGAACTCGCAGAAACAACTTACCGAGGGTGTGGGCGGGGCAGTGGAAGTCCTCAGGGAATTGGTCATGGAGGAAAAATCAGGACTCCAGTGGACAGAAAGTCCGCTGCTTTGGTGCACATTTTTTTGCCCACACTGGACCCAATCGTGTGTCCAGAGGTGTTTGGTGCGTCCATTAGCCAACTGCTCCTTCCTGGGCTGCCCTTTATTGGGTTCATTTCCCATGCCATTTCTCTAAGCATCTTTGGGAGTCCCTGCTGTGTCATTACGTGCGGGGCTGCCCCTGTGACACACCTCATCTTAATCCATTACACCAGCAGTGTCATATTTTTACAGGATTTAAGCATAGTACAAAACTCAATGTATATCTGGTGAGAAGATGAGTTCCCTCCCACCTCTGGGCCTGCAGTATAGATAAGCTGTGGCATCAGAGATTTTTCTTTCATTTTTTTCAACATTTATTTTTTGCACATTCTCAAGCAAGTGCTTATATAAGCATAATTGCTAGATTTTTGGTTTCAATCATTGGCTGTGGTAGTACCAAACTTGCAAGGGCACATAGAATGAGAATCCTCCCACTCTGCTATTAGAGTCCACCCCCAAAGAGTGTTCCCAGTGTCTCCTGTGCCTTTCCTGAGATGCTGCACGAATGCATTTTTCTGTTTTTAGACAAATGGTACATATGTATGCTCTGCATTTTTTTCTCACATAACGCATTGTGGAAATAGCTTTCTCATTCCTGTAACTCTACACCTTTATTCCACCACGTCCACCCATGTGGGTGTGAAGATCGAAGTCAGTGTTTGGTAGCCCCTTTCCTCTAACCATTGTTCTAGCTTCCAGGTTTGAGTCCTAGGTTAACCACTTCTAGCTGTGGGCAAGTGACTTAACCTCTCTATGCCTGTTTCTTCAACTGTATAATAGGCATAGTGATACCATAGGTCTCTCCTTATCCGAGGTCTCACTTTCCGTGGTTTCAGTGAACCGCAGTCACCTGTGGTCCAAAATATTAAATGGAAATTTAATAAGTTCTAAATTGCACGTCATTTCTGAGTAGAGCAATGAAGTCTCCCTTCGTCCTGCCTGGGGCATGAATCATCTCTTTGTCCAGCGTATCCACACTGTGTATGCTCTCTGACCATCCCCATTAGTCACTTAGTAGGCGTCTCAGTGATCAGATCAACTGTTGTGGTATCACAGTGCTTGTATTCAAGTAACAGTTTTACTTATTGGCCCCAAGGCACAAGAGTAGTGATGTTGCCAATTCAGACATGACAAAGAGAAGCCATAAAGTGCTTCCTTTAAATGAAAAGGTGAAAGTTAATAAGAGAGACCACATTCACACAACTTTTATTACAATATGTTATAATTATTTTATTATTCATTGTTGTTAATCTCTGTACCTAATCTATAAATTAAACTACTGTACATAGGTATGTATAGAAAAAACATAGCATATGTAGGGTTCGGTGCCATCCACAGTTTCAGCATCCACTGGAGGTCTTAGACCATACTTCCCACAGGTTTGGGGGCACTACTGTAGTACCTCTTGTAGAGTTGTAAGGACTTCCAGATACAGATACACACTCCCCAAGGCCTGGCATAGAACCAGCACTGTGGGTCAGCTAACATCACTACACCCTTATGTGCAACTCTCTTAGCCCATATCCCATAACCCCAAAGACCAGGGTGTGTCCCAGGTCTATTAGGTCAGTGCTCTCAGCTGAGCTTCAAAAACCAAATCGCCAGGCGAGCCTCTGAGACTCTCAGCTCAAGGCCTGGCCCCAACCCAGCCCAAGGACACTCTACTGAAAGCAGGCTCATTCCCCTGCTGTCTTGTGACAACCTGCTCACTCAACAGAGGCAGCAAAACATCAGGATTGAGCCACCCTGGCTCTGAATTCAGGATCTGCCACTCTGCAGCTATGTGTCCTTTGGCAAGTGACTTCACTTCTGAGTCTCAGTGCCCTCCTTTGAAAACTGGGAAGCAAATGAAGGTACAGACTTCATAGGACGGTTGTGAAAACTGAGTGAGACAGTGCATCAGGAGGCAAAAGAACATGGTGTTAAGAACTCGGCTTCTGGAGGGTGGCTGTGCTGAGTTCAAGTTCTCCATTCCCCTAGCAAACAAAACCTCTCAGAGTCTCACTTCCTTCCCACGTGAAACAGGACTAATCATAGCAGCCACCCCTTTTCATGCCCCAGAGCTAGAACTCAGACAGCTGACCCCTGAGGACTTCGCACAGACCTAGCTCAGAGCAACCGTTTGATTAAATGGGTAGTATCTCTAGAGCACTCAGGAGAAAAATCTGGCCCAGGTCTTTTTGAATATTACTTCTTCTCATTAGTTACTAATTATTGAAGCCCACAGCATAGTGCCTAATACATCATAAGTACTCATCCATTCAATAAACATTTATTGAATACCTGCTGTGTGCTCAGCCCTACTCTCAATGCTGTGGGTAGGGCAGTGAACAAAACTAAACAAAAATTTTATCTTTGTAGAGCTGATGGTCACGTAGGGTGGGGGGTGAAAGAAAATAATTAAGAATAAATAAATAAAGCATCTAATGTGCTAGACAGTGATGAGAGTAAAGGAGAAATAGAAAACAAGTGGATAGAGAGGGTTGGGAGCAATTTTAAGCAACAAGATCAGCAAATGCCTCACGGAGAAGGTGATGGTTATGCAAAGACTTAAAGGAGGTAAGGAGGGAGCCAGGTGAACAGTGAGGAAAAAGCGTTCCAGGCAGAGGGAGCAGCCCGTGCAAAGGTCCTGAGCTAGGAGTGTGCCTGAGTTGTTTAAGGAATAGCCAGGAGCCCAGTGAGGCTAGAGTAGAGTAATGGGAGGAGGAGAGATTTGAAGAGGGGAGGTGGAAGGAGGAGAGATGGGAGGAGGGGAGGACAGGTTGGAGTGATGGAGCAAATGTTGCAGGGCCTGGTGGGCTGCAGAGAGAACCTTGGCAAGAAGAAGAGCTTGCGAGGATTTGGGTTTTGATTTTGTCTTAATTTTCCTTTGCCGGGAGTGGGGAGGTGGCATATCATTTGCTTGTAAGATAACTTTAAGTCCCTGAAATATGTGATCATCGGTCTCTTGAAATTTCAATGCACTAAACTTCCATCTCAAAATAGCACAACACAAACAATAAGCACCTATATTTTCTATGAAAATCTAGTCCTTGAAGTGCACACGTTCCTGTTCCTTCTCACAGACCTGAGAACACTTTTCTAGGTCTGCCGATTCCATTCTTGTCCAAGATGGCATGGGAGTCTGAAACTCTGTGATTCGTCAGTCAGACGTCTTCTCTCTTTGTCATGAGGAGAGGAAACAACCTCAGGAACACTCCAGAAGGTCCCACTCTAGAGCAACGAAGTTTCCTTGCAGTCACTCACCATCTTTGTATCACTAGTGCCCAGAGCGGTGCCTGGCCCAGAACTATCTGAGTGTTTGCCAAATGAGTCATTGAATTACAAAGTGATTCAGACAAGAGGATCTGCAACATTTGCCCTATGACCAATCACATCAGGGTGTGTGCAGAGGAAGACCCACCTAGACCAGGGGTCTGCTGTGGTCCCCCAGAGAAGGGGCCTCCCACACTCCACTTCTTTAACTTCCACCTGCGGGAGTAGATGTTCTCTCTGGCTCCAAGAAAGGCTCTCTTTCCTGGGGTCCTGCTCCTACATCATGATTCATGTATTTGTCACTTGGCACAGCTCCTGAGGGCCAGCTCAACACTAGGCCCAGGGGGCACAGCAAGTGACAAACACAGCAATCTGGGGGTGCCTCACGGAGCTCACAGCCTTCTGGGAAACAGACCTAACTAAACCAAAGATTTTAGTGTCTTAGGGCTGACATAACGAAGTACCT